GGATCTTTGGCTTGCAGATGGGAAGATATACCGTCAGTTACAGCAAGTAACCCGTGTCTTTTTCCCACTCGCCCCTACCCTTTTCCACCTCTCATACTTCCTCCTTGCTACTCAATGTACCTGGCCAACTCCTTGCCCTGGTTCACCTGTCTAGAGAAGACTGCCGTTCTAGCCAGGCAACCRGGCCCCGCTCTACYAGTTAGAAGAAGCCCGCTCTCSTTGTAGAAGGTGAGGGTGATGGCGTGCAGCCACAGTCCCGCCTCCTACTCACCTAGTATGCCAAAATGAAAATAATAAAAAAAGCATATATATGTATATATAAAAAGCAAAAAAAGAAGATGGACAAATGAGGAGGAATCCCTCGTTGGAACGTGACCAGGTTCATCCCCCCGTGCAATATTCACCCCACATACCGGCCACATGACCTACTAAATCCAAAATTCGACGCAACAGACGGATTCGCCATGTCAAAAAACCCCTGTTTAGAGTCCTGGCTTGCTCAAAACGACCACCGAACGTCCGAGATAAAAAAACTTACTCCCTCCTTTCTCCCCCTCGGTACTCCGCGCACAGTCTCCTCTACTGAACTCCCATATTACCACTCTAGCAGCCAAACCAACACCTTCACTGAATTCGCCCCTCCTTAGAGCCGTAGTCTCAGCTCTCTCTTCGCCGGAGTCCGCTGAGAATCAAGGATACTATGAACTCTCCCCTCCGTCACAACCCGTCGCCACCTTCGCCTTCCACACCAGCCCCTCCAAATGCACCTGGCGCAGATCCATGCCAGATCCACTCCCCTCTTTTCCCTTTCCTCGTAGCCTCTCCTTCACCGTCTCGCTGCACAGCCCCAACGCTCATTGGTCCTTCTGCCTCGTCCTTCCTGTTCCCCCTCTCTCCCTACCTCACCGCGCATGCACTCGGCGCCGTTTCCTGTCCACATTCACTTGCCCTCCACGTAGACCGTTTCCTGTCCACATTCACTTGCCCTTCACGTAGCGCTGCACCCTCCGGCACTACCTCCTTCTGGGATCATTGCCTATTGCTTAGTAGTAGCACTCTGCCTCGTGGCCGTGTACCAACTCTTCTCGTGACCCCGCTGAAGGTGAGGGCCTCTCTCTCTCTCTCTCTCTCTCTCTC